TTCTAGGTCATGGAACCTTAACCTCCGGGTGGGTGAACCTCCTTGAGGTTCGTGAGGTTCACCCGTGGTTCCTGGCCAGGTCTAGTCATAACTAAGGAGGTCGATCAGCGCACTAAAAGACATACACTAACTCGAAGATACATAGACAAGTACAACGTTAGCGGAATATATCCTAATACAGAATAATGCGTCTAAGGCAAGGCCTCGGGAGAAAAAGAGAGTAAGAACTGAGTTAAAACTGATTTTAAATATCACTATACTTTAATATCACTGTTTTTACAACAATTTCAGGCTTTCTACCAAATCAAAATTTCCTCTCAAAAAGTTCTCTTCTCCTAGCGCTTTATAGCAGGCTGTATTTCAATCTCACCACCATATCGTTTCCCTATTTTAACATCGTATCTAATAATATAGTCCCGAAGTACGTCCGACGAAACATCGCAGTTTAAAGGACCGAGATAATCCCGTTTACCCACAAATAGTAGTTAACGTTTCACAGCTTCCTCGAACTCCTTTCCTAGGTCAGCAACATTAAAGCCGTATTCATTAATCATCAAAAAGTAGTAGGTTCTAGCAAGGGTCGATAAAGTAGAGCGTAGAAAGAAGTTGCCCAGTAATAGAAATTTATACAAAGTCCGAGTTTCGAACAAGTATAAAACGATAAGAGAGTTATTATTCGATACAAACTATAGTATAAGCATTTCTTTAAAACTTCGATAAACAGAAATTTGGCCCTCGCAGAACATAAGTTATAGCTCATCTTCGAATCCCTCTACTAGAATACGCTGATCAAGATCAACGTTTTGTACCTAGTCTACTAAGGCTTACTCAGTACCTATATCATAATCATTATCTACCACCTAATCACTAGGTATATTTTGGGTCTCATATATATACGTATCGAGGCCTAAACTCTGTTCACTGGTCATACTTTGATTATTAGCTAGACTTGGATCATATATATTAAGGTTGTCTTCTCTGGGTAGACCGGAAACCTTAGTTCTAGGAAGTAAAGCCCTATTAGACTCGTTAGGAAGATATACTCCTTAGTTAGTAATGGCTTCGTATAGAGGCGACTTCCCGAAAAACGAAAAGATAATATCTCGCGTTATCGCTAACGACGTAATGTACTACTTCCTAGATTAATCTATACTATAAATTTGGTCGAGGAAAAGATGTCTTCGCTCTTATTGATATTGGATAGGCCTTAAACAATTGAATCGATAGTCTGCCGCTATATCACTATTATCTGTTATATATTCGGGGTCGCTACCGGTTTTATCTTCGGGTTTAGCTAACGCTCGCTAAATTTGTTATAAACGTCTTATACCGGTGTCGAGAGGTCCCTTCTCTACCTAGTAGAACTCCTCTCTATAAAATGACCGGAAGAAATCTTATAATATCTTATCTTCCGATATATCCTGCTTTAGATTACTAATCTAGTCTGAACAGAAGCCAACCCTCTCTACTAATATTACTATATTCTAAAGACTGAACCCCTCGCTAGGCCAGAACGATACTATTCGATATTGTCTTAATTTAAGATATCGCTTTACGAAATATCTAAAGCTAAATAGCTATAGTTACATACTGTAGATTCTGAAGCAATCTAAAGATGAAGATTCTAGGAGGGGTCGAAAGGTATGCTCTGATATCTAAATCTCGAAATTTCTTCCCGTTCCTATAGCTCTCTACTGATAGAGTAAAGCCTTACTTAAACTTCCTCGAAAAAGTGGGGGACAGAGACGATATAGAGCCTTTACTAGGCCCTCTAAGAATATCGTATCTTAGACGAAGGTATTAATAGTTAATATCCTCCCTTTAGTTAAGATAAGTCGGTCCAATAAAACCTTCCGATCTTTGTCTTCGATAACACGAGGAAAGATTTTTCCAGATTCTATAAGCCTCGAAATACGGTCACTATTATTATATAAATACTCGGGAATAAGGCCCTCTATAAGCCGTATAGAAATTGAATCAACAACTAAGGGATTTTCGTAGACTATCTTTAACCATTTATCATAGATCGAGCAAAGGTAGTTATAGACAAACTAATATAAAAAATAAGCCAGAGCTATATTTAAAAATAGGGATCTTACCTCGTAATACTTTAACCCTAATATTCGTTCTATCTGGGATATTTTGAAAGGTTCCCAAAGCCTTATATAAGGGATCAATTGATTAAACCCTTATAAAAGAAGCTTATTGTACTGTAGGCGTTTGATATCTTTTTTTCGGCCGTCGGAATCAAATCGCGCCCACCACTTCTGCTCTTATATAAGGTTTCCTAGGTTTTGATACTACCGTAGGGTACAATAAATTTCACCGTCTTTCAACTTTAGAGCATTCGAAGATTCCTCTTATATCTAACGGCATATATCAGTTGAGATACCTATAATATAGATAAGCGTTTACTTTAGTAGCTTTATATAAAAAGGCTTACTGTCGAGGTAAAGATTAACTAGCCACTCAGTCTCTCCGTACGCTTCGCTAGCCCTTAGTCGATACTGGCTATAGAGACAAATAAGCTGCTAACTATTATTAAATCTTAGGGGTAGGCGACTTATTAGGTTAAGTAAAGTCTCCTAAGAGATATTCGTATAGACGAGACCGTTCTTTAATATTTCTTAGTCAATAGTCGTAGTAATACGATACTCTAGTTCTAGATTCGCACATCCTTCAATCTCAAATATATTCAGGATTCTTTAAAAATTCTTCTTATCAAACTCCCTTATACCCATTATATCTAACGACTCGAATTTGAGGTAACATAGCTCTATAATAGTACAGCCCACGAAATACTAAAGCTTTTGATAGGCGACTTCGTTCGCTAGGCCACTAAGAGTAGCCTCAGAAGAGCTCATTTTTAATTTTTTGCACTTAGAATAAGCCTAAAGGCTTTAACTCCTTTAAGGCTGGCCTATAGGACAAAAATGGCTCGTAGAACAGAAACGGCTCGCGGTTCCTACTCAATCACTTACTTAGTCTACTACTTAGTCAGACTAGTTTGTCTTATAAGACTACGCGGTCTGCTTAGACCACTCGGTCTTCCCAGACTAGTTAGTCTGCTCAAACTAGTTTATCTTATAAGACTACGCGGTCTACTTAGACCACTCGGTCTTCCTAGACTAGTTAGTCTTCCCAGACTAGTCGGTCTTCCTAGACTAGTTAGTCTACTCAGACTAGTTGGTCTTATAAGACTACGCGGTCTACTTAGACCACTCGGTCTTCCTAGACTAGTTAGTCTGCTCAGACTAGTTTGTCTTCCCAGACTAGTCGGTCTTCCCAGACTAGTTAGTCTTATAAGACTAGTCAGTCTTCCTAGACTAGTTAGTCTTCCCAGACTAGTCGGTCTTCCTAGACTAGTTAGTCTACTCAGACTAGTTAGTCTTATAAGACTACGCGGTCTGCTTAGACCACTCGGTCTTCCTAGACTAGTTAGTCTGCTCAGACTAGTTTGTCTTCCCAGACTAGTTAGTCTTATAAGACTAGTCGGTCTTCCTAGACTAGTTGGTCTTATAAGACTACGCGGTCTTCCCAGACTAGTCGGTCTAAAGAGACTAGTTAATACTCGCGGCGATAATCTATAAGCTAACTAAGTCTAGACTACGTAGCTTTATAGCTGTAGTCCAAAAGACTATACAGAATGAAACTCAATTTCAATTTGCACCATAAATACATATACGTTATACTTATCGTAAGATATCTGCGTGGCTGCCAATCCTTATAGCCCATAGAAAAGCTTCAAAATAATGCCTCTTCAGACTCTAAGCACTACCTAGGTTTGCCAAATAGAGAAAATCATCCTATTAGACGGGATCATACACCGTTAGTCCATATTTCCATACCAAATTTATCTATACATACCTTAAGCAGCTCGTTCGTAGATGAATTCTTCGTCTTATCAACAAATATACGCCCTATTTCCGACAAAGACGGATCTACTATTTCAAGACCCGAATCAAGTAGTAATATAGCTTAATCACTAAGATATATCACAAGCCACCCAATAGATTCAACATTACTTTCTTTTCCTTTAGAATCTTTCTGTTCCATAATACTATCCCCGATATTTCCTAGGTATAAGTTAGCGCTAGTCTTAAAGAATTGCTTTTATACTCACCAATTTTCAATTAACCTATCTACGTTAAAAGAATACTTGCAATATTGATAGAGCCGTATGTAATCTTCAATTCATAATAGATAAACTGTAGGCCTTCTAGTATCTCCTTACAAATTGTCGCGATATCCGCTTCACTAAACCGTATCTTTGCTATTACACAACCGAGGGATAGAGCTAAGTACTAGTACTCGTATACTAAGAAGACGCTTCCTTTAGAATAAAATACATCTATAAGAGGCACGAGATTCTTATAGGATATTCGCCTTAACTATCGAAAAACGCGGTCCTAGTAGGTCTTCCGTTCCTTAAGGAGACAGACAGGAAAACCCTCGATATCTTTAAGCGCAATAACGCCCGGTCCCGCTTAATCAATATTATAAGACCTATAATACTGAATTTAGGAGTCCTTTTTAAATCCCTATAAAGCAATTAATATAGGGGCTAGATTTATAGGAATACCAAATCGTAAGAGGGACCTTTCTTACTCCTTTATAGTATATTTCTACTCGATAAAATATTGTTTGTCTCTATTCTCATTATTTTCCAGTTACAATAAATAGGGTAGAAAGGTTTTTCGCTTTAACAAAGACATAGAATATTATAGTAACACTAGAACCTATAAAGGGAAAACCATACTTAAACCGATACGAAATTAATATACAAGCCGTTTTAGTCTCCTAGGCCGCCACGCTATTATCTACTACGCTTATATACTACTCGCCTATTATATAATTGGAATATACTTTTCGAGTTCTTCTCTAATAATATAGTACATTCCGAAACTGGTGCGACCACCGACACTCTTCCCGCCCCTACGCCAGGACACATTAGTCTCGATATAAGGTTCTCCCGGAGTACCCTTATACAGTAGTAGACCTCATATCCGCCCGCGAGCGGCCCTCTGAGGGCCGCCCGCAGACCCGCACTTTTGCGGGCGGAGGGCAGGCGACGCCTGCCCGCGGGTCGGGCAGGTTATTTTCTTGCCCTCAGAGGGCGGCCCTCCAAACATTTTGAGGGCCGACAAACAGGACAAACAGGGAAATCCCTAGACTTGCATAAAATATGCATTTCTCGGCTGTATTATTTAGTATTTGGTTTACAGCTTAGTATTATAGAAAATAAATACAACTAGGAGTACTCATTTAAACTGGCTAGATAACATCAAATCTTAATATAAATATCTTATTTTTTGAGGAACTAATATACATTATGTAGCTTTAAGTTCTACGGCGTTTGTCACTCTCAATTTCATAACCATCAAGTTTACTTGAGCGCTTCCGAACCCTCCCTAAATGCCGTTGTGTATAAGGCAACTCAGGCTCACTATCCGTATCCTCCTCCTACTCTTCAACCTCCGATTGAGTACGCTGCCTCTGTTGTGATTGGCCTTGATCAACTACTACTTGGATAGTACTATCCTCATCCCCTATATCCTCATAAGTATTACTACCCTCGTTATCATTACTTATAGGTTCAAAATGATGAGTATTGGTTGTATCCCTCTCCTCTTGGTTAGCTTGTATCTCTTCATATAAAAGATACTTATTAATTAAAGCTCGGTAGGTATCTTCGATCTCAAATTTTGATATATATATAAACATTATTAGATCTTGAACTGTTGATACCTTTAGAGAGCCTTATCGGTAGTAATAGATATCCCGGGCGGAGTTGAAAAGGCGTTCTATACCCGCCCCTATAGCTGGTATTGAAAGTATATCGCGTATAAGGTTTGTAAGAGTAGGGTACTGATACTGATGCTCTTTCTAAAATAAATAGGTAGGCGTTCGCATAATACCTTAAATATAAGTTAATATAGGATAGATAATAAAAAGATATAACTTACTACTATTAAGGTATAGACTGCGACAACGCCCGTTTTTGTGGAGACATTTTTAGCGTCGCCAAGACATATGCGGGCACTCTTGGCACGGTGGGTACTGCCAAGAACTAGTTATGTACATAAAATCGCCGAATAGGGTAATTTTTGCATTATTTTTGCATAAGGATGGGCGATGGGCGTCGAATTTCAAAAGGCCCACGGGCCGTGGACACTTTCTAGTGCCCATGGACGGGCGATGTCGCAGTCTATTAAGGTATTCCTTAAGCTCATTATATTTACTTAATACTAAGGGCTAGGACTCTTCTACCCCGTATTCTATTTCAAGCTCTAAAATCGCGATTGCGGATGATTGAGCTCTGGATAATAATTGTGTATCTAAATAAAGTTTCTTATAGGGCTGAAAGTATTCCTTAAAATTTACTCGATAGATTGTACGCTAGTTATTAACCGGATTATCCTAGTCCTTTCCTTTAAAAAAGTTAAGCTTTTATTAGGGTAAGAGAATAGTACTAATTGCGTAAAGATTGTTATCAATTTAATCGGTCTAACTATAATATTATAAAAGCTTCTTCTCTGCTACCTTAAGAGAAGTAAGTATAAGCTACTTCTACGTAATCTTCTTCCGTTTTAAGGCAGTCTTTGACTTTTCAAGGTAGTTAAAGAGCTTATTATAGATATTAAAGATTAGGTGAATACTAATATCTTTAGTTTTAGAAAGAAGAGTAGTGAATTTGAAGAAAGGCTGGGTAATCTAAAGAAGATAGTCAATCTGTCGCTACTCTTTTGGACTTAGTATAAAGTGTTCCTAGTCGTACTAAGCGTAGAATTTATTAAAGGTTGATTAGAGCTATTTAGTACGTCGGAGTATTAAAAATATCGAATTCTAGCGAGTTCGGATATCCTAGATCGGAATAAGCCTTAGCTCCTTAGTTTGAAGGTTACAAAATGACTCTCTCCGTTATAGACTTACGTTAATATAGATAGTAAGGTTTCGGACCTATATAAGAATAGAAGGATTAGTATAATGAAAAAAGTAGGGTTATAGGGGTATACCTTATTAAGCGTATCAACAATTTCTCTTTTTTATTGCCTTATACGAAGAGATCGAATACGGTCGTTAGACCAGTCTATCTCTGTACTCTTATTCTTTAGAATTGCCTTTATCTTCCTAAGAAGATCATTTAGACTAAGCTAGATAATATAGGCAATATAAGGAACCCGAACGATTATAGCACTATTATTTAGCTTAAGAGACTAGAGTGATTCTTAGATACTTACTATTATAGTATTATTATTTGATATATTATCGATAGTGACTATAAGTACTCGATCTGCAATCTTATACTAATAGAGAAGCTTTAAAACTACGTTACTTAGGTTGATACCTAAATATAAGCTAGATAATAGTTCAAATCTAAGAAGAACCTCTTGATACTCCCAATACTAGTCGAGGAAGTAGCTAGTAACGGCTATAAAGGCCTATTAAAACGGAGATATCCAGTAATCTAATACAATCGAAAGCTTTATATTAGGAGGAAGCTTATTAAGAATAGACTGTTACTATTCCTAGATATACCGCCGTAGTCGAGACTGTATTATAACTACAGAAGGGATCTATAGTTATGTCGGGGTAAGTCGGGTAAAGGTAATAACCTTACGAAACTCTAGGTGTTTAATAAACTTAAAGGGGAGACGGGAGAGGGTAAGTAGTTATAAGAGCTTCTATTCCTATACCTCTTATATAAAGACTGTTGACTTACTTAGTACGTTCTGCGCCTATTAATCTAGAGAGTTATTAGTAAATAATAATAGAAAAATTGTATAATATATATAGTATTTACGAGTAGTCCCTTAATATTACCCTTCTAGGTACTAGATTTACGATAGGTCGGTCTAGCTAAGTGTCGATAAAGTACAGTTGTTCTATACTGCCTATTTGCTAGATAATCGAGGACTTTATAGTATTGACAATATATTGCCTCTAGTTTGCCGGTTTTTATATCAGTAACTTGATTAAATTGGTTCTAGTAAGCGGCTATCCGGTTGCTATTCCAGTTTAGTCGTTTTTTTGTCTTTCCAAACTCAGTCTCTAACTACTAGGAAACAAAATCATCTTTTAATATATTAGTATATAGAATAAACGCTATTGATCGATCTAGACTAATATACTGAAGTAAAGAAGGAATTAAAGGTAGAGGAATTGGGGTAAGAAATCTAGAATTTAAGGTAGTATCAAATATCTGCTAGCTTTCGGAAACCTTAGGGGTTAGGAATTGCTTATTCGGAAAGCAGAGAAGAGGGTCGGTTAAATTTATAGGATTACCGTCGTAGATAGATAAAGAATAGATATCTGAGAACTGAGAAATTTGAGATATTGTTAACTAAATAATCACTTATAGAGTTTATTTTAAAAACAGGATAGGAATCAGAAGGTAGATATAGACCTCGTCCTCACCCGCATGGACTCGGAACCGACCCGACCCTCAACCCGCATTTTGCGGGTTTCGAGTCCTTACCTAGGACTCGCGGGTAGAACTCGGAGGGCCAGGGAATTAGTACGGGTCACCCGCAGACTTATTTCGGGTCCACAAACAGGACAAACACCTAATTCTTGGCAGTTACATTAATTATAAAGACTTGGTCTATATTTTTGATTATTCTTATATTTTTCACTTTCTATCTTATAGCTTCTGATTTCTATTTTCTTTACAGTTGAATTTAGAGAAAATGAGGGCATTCCAATTGTAAAATAACTATCTCATCGTTATATCATAACCATTTAGACGTACTAAGCATACTCGCGCCCTTCCAGTTATACGGTAAACTGGAAGATCTATATCGTTCTCAATATTATCTTCTTTAATACCCTTATCCTCGCTATTTCTATCGTCCTCGTTAATAGATACGACACTTCTCCGCCGTTTTCCTAATACAACCGTACTTAGCTATAGTATCTCCACTACTACAATATTATCCTCCTTATTATTACTAATCGGTTCTAGATCGTTTATACCGTTTTCGCGTTCTTCGCCTTCCGCTTATATTTCTTAGAATAAGAGATACTTATTTAATAGTAGACGCTCCTTATCCTCTATCTCAAACTTTAATATAAACATATATATTATAAGCTCTTAAATAGTCGATAGTTTTAGAGAACCCCGACGGTAATAATATATATCGCGTGTAGAGTTAAAAAGTCGCTCAACTCTAGCTCTAGTAGCTAGAATAGTGAGTATATCCCGCGCTAAGGCAGTAAGCGCGGGGAATATACGCTCATTCTCTCTCTAAAAAACACGAGGCGTAGTCGCAATAGTGGCTATATTTAGGGTTAGTTATAATATAATAAGGGGGTCCAGAGTACTTACGACTATTAAGATACTGGCTTAGTTCGTTATTAACTAATAATACTTCCGATAGAGGTAGTGCCTACCTATATATCTTCTTAAGTTCGGATAGTCCTAAGTTTAAAGATACCGCTCTAGGCTCCTCTCTATATATAAGACGGTGCTTATATAGTTTAAGGCGATCTTTAAGACTCTTCCGATACCGACCTCGCCAATTAACCTCCGGATCCTTCCAATCTTTACTTATAAAGAATTGGAGCTTATTCTATAGGGATATAATAGTACCAATTATATAAAGATCACTATATATATTATCAGTCATACTATAGTACTATAATAGTTTGGTTTCAGCAGCCCTAAGGGCATTAAGTATTACCTTTTTCTATAGAACTTTCTTCCGTTAGAGCCGTACTTTCGATTACTTAAGATAAGTAAACAGCTTATTATATATACTAAATACTAAGTAGATAGTAATATCCTTCGTCTATAAAAGCATAGTAGTAAATTAGTAGAAGGGATAGGTAATCTAGAGAAGATATTCAACTTAACGCTATTCCTCGCGAGTAATTATAAGCTCGTCTATCTAGTATTATTTACAGAATAGCTTAAGAAATAGTTAGAGCCTTTTCGTACGTTAGAGTATTAAAAAAGTCGAGTTCCAGTAGGTCTTTATATCTTAAATTGGTATAAGCTTTAGTTCTATAGACTAAAGCTTATATAATAAATCCCGCCGTTATAGACTTATATTAATAAAAACTACTAGTTACCTAATCTATAATAGTATTAAGGTTAGCGTTAAGTATAGATTTAGGGCTAAAGTCTTAC